ATTCTTATCGGCAGAAGCTACGGAGGCCAAAATGGGCATGGCAGACAAAATGGAAGGAGTGGAAAATCCCGAGTGGAAATTCCCGGAAGACGGTGATGATGATGACGATGGATCGTGCATGTTCTGGGCCTCTTTGACTGATAGTGAATAAATGAAGAAATGAATGAACGAGCGAGTGAATGGGTAAATGGATGAATGAATGAATGAATGGATGAATGCATGGATGGATGGATGGATGAAAAGAGAGCCAACTAGCGATGGGATTATTGGCGCTAATCTTCCTGGAGATGATCTTATCAAACATAGAAGAGGTAGAACGTTTGTGGTCCTTGCGCTTCTTGACACTGGCTGATGCTGCCTGGCATGTCTCTTTATACAACTCGATGCACTTCTTGTGGATGTTTATCTCGCAGACTGTTCGTTCGTTTGTTTGTTCGTTTGTTTGTTTGTATGTGTAGTTTGTTTGTTTGTTTTGTGGTTGTGCGTTTGTTTGTCTGTGTTGGTTGTTTGTGTGTTTGCACGTGTGGTTGTCAAAACAAACAATTTGCTAAAGACAACAAGTCAATAGTAAAATTTCACAAACTATACCCATAAACATACAAACAACCAAACGAACACTCATACAAACATACCAACACACACACACAAACAAACACACACACAACCGTACGTGAACATTGAAATCCTTGATGTCCAATGCCCCAAAACATGTAAGAACACAAACAGCAGTAGGTAGGCACGTAGTATTGGTGGGCTACGTATTGATGGCCGTTGTACAACTATAAAATATCACAATGAGCTCTGGGTTATTCATAAATAATGATAATATATTTTAATTAGTAAATGATTGATTGATTGATGTATTGACTGATTGAATATGGTGATAATATTAAAAGAAGATATTGAAAAAAGAGTTCGCATGATAAAGTCGAATGAAACAGTAGATAGCGAAAAATCTGCAAGAACGAAAAAAACAACATCAGCAAGCAACAGCAGAATCGATACTACAAAGATATGCGAGACAAGTGCTTTCCAATGAACAAACAAACCATCAACAAACATACACACACTCACACAAACAGACACACACACACACAAATACACACAAACAGACAGACACACTCATACACACACATACAAACGACCTTCTTATTCGATTTAAACTTGAACGTCTTCTTATCTCTAGCGTTGAATATGTAACATCGGTCCAGGGATGAGCTGATCCGAGTATTCGACAAACCGACGCTCCGAAAAAATGTTGCCAGCACCGACGCCATTGCTTTGCAACGATCGTTATTTTTGTTGACGCTGGTTATGATAATGGTAGCAGTGATGATAATGATGATATAATAATGATGATGATGATGACGGCGAACGATGATGATGACACTGACCTCAACCTTTCAAAGTACTTCAACAACCCATTCTCAATGATCTTCAACTCCGTGGCTCGGTCCATGTTATCCTTGAGATCCTGCTCGTCGTAACCTGTCACCTGACCTATTTCCGTTCAATATTATTGGCCAGAATTACTTATCCATTGCAATTTGATTGGTCATAAAAGTCATATACTAAAATTTGATTGGTTAAAAAATTAAATGCTGCAAAGTAATTGGTTGAAGTAAATTCTCTCGTCGAATGTGATTGGTTGGATTAGATCGTCTACTACAACAGCTAGGATAAATGAATCTAGAACCACAAGGTTATTGGTTAGAATAAATTATATAATTCAATTAAACAAATCCTCACCTAGCGCTTTCTTACTCCTAAAATCTTTCAACTGGTCGACAATCTCGGGCATGACAGCCAGTCTAGCGGTCACAAACAAATTTCTCATGGCAACTTCACTCTCGAATTTTGACGTCATCGTCTTCTCGATGTTCATCGCGATGTCGTCGTCTGTGTTTATCTTTAAGGGCTGTCGTCGATGGCGGTTAATTTATGTTAATTAATTCATCGCAGCAGCAGCCGCTTCATTATCATAATTATAATAATGATGATGATAATAATAACACTAATAATAATAATAATAATCATCATCTTCATCACCATCATCGTCATCATCATCATCGTCATCATCATCATCATCGTCTTCATCATCACCATCATCGTCATCATCGTCATCATCATCATAACCAACAGCTTTCTCCTGTATAAAGGTTGAATATATCTCGTAAGCCCACTTCCTCAAATCCTTCAGACTTCCCTGCGAGTACGTTTCCGTTACTATGTGGAATAACTGTTGGTGATGATGATGAAGAGAATGATGATGATGATGATGGTGATGATGATGGTGGCGATGATGAAGATGGCTACTGGACGAGGTTAAATGTAAGACAAATGATCAACGAAGGATAAAATAAATGAATGAATGAGACGAATGAATGAGTAAGTGAGTGGGATGAATTAGTGAGATGAATGAATGAATGAATGAATGAATGAATGAATGAATGAATGAATGAATGAATGAATGAATGAATGAATGAATGAATGAATGAATGAATGAATGAATGAAAGTGTGAATGTATGACAGTCAACCAAGTTCTTCAAATATGATCATCCATTCAATCATTCATTCAATCAATCAATCATTCAATCAATCAATCGATGAGACTTACACAGACAAACAAACAGAAAAACACACACACACACATACACACACACACACACACACACATAAATACAAGCCTTTAATGTACGTATACATGTAAAATCTACAATATTTAATATTATTATTTAATGAAAGCTAATGAGAAAAAAGCAAATGAAAGTATATACAAATAAGTATACAAACATACACGTACATCGTATATACATACATGTGTGTGTGTGTGTGTGTGTATGTGTGTGTATGTATGTGTATGTATGCAAGTGTGTGTGCGCGTGTGTGTGTGCCTATGTGTAAGTTTTACACGACAAACAAGCATATAAAATAGTTTATACAAGGCTATTTGATTTGAGAAGCTAATTTATATTGATAAAAAAACATTATACTGTGTACTACATATACAGACATACAAAAACATATACAGATATACAAAGACATATACAGACATACAAGGACATATACAGACATACAAAGATATATACAGACAAATACACTGTTCTGTATAACCGCATACATGAACATGCACTAAAGAGTACACAACAAATTAGATACAAACGAATATATACAAAAGGTGTGCATAAGCTAAAAAGAAATAATTGAATGCGGAAAAATCAACGATGAATCTAATTGAATAATATTAGGACAACAACACAACCACAACTACAACAACTACAACAACAACAACTACAAAAACTACTACTACTACAATGAAACAACTACAACAACAATAAGAATAATAGTAGTAGTAGTAATAATAATAATAATAAGCCCAACAACATTAACGACAAACAACATGTCAATAAAATAAATAACAACTAAAGCAATAGCGAATAGTGAAAAATATTCATAAAAATAATAACTATATCTAGTGGCCAAAAATAACATTTGCATAAATTAAAATTCACATAAATTAACATTAATTAATAAATTAGTTACAGTGGTGAACATGGATTCATCAACGGTAGCCACTTTGACTTGACTTGGAAGGACAACCTTTAATCTTCGCTTACGTATCATACTGCCTATCGACCAGGGCTTCGTGAATATTAATTAGGTTCATCGTCATGAATATTAATTAAGTCATAATCATGAATATTAATTAGGTCAGAAGCGTGAATAATAATTAGGAACAATGAATCTTCAAAAAGGTCTTAATAGTATTAATATTTATTTAAACGACATTTATATTATTACAACATTACTAATTGTGTGTGTGTTTATTTGTGAGTGTAATTGCGTGTACGTGTGTTAGTTTGCTTGTATGCGTGTGTGTGTGTGTGTGTGTGTGTGTATCATCATCATCATTATTATTATCTGGGGTGTGTGTTTATTTATTTTGAAGCTCAGAGCATGCTATTAAGATAAGTGGAAAGATGAAAGAAAAGATGAATGAATGAATGAAGAAATGAATGAATGAATGAATGAACGAACGAACGGACGGACGGACAAACGATCGAACGAACGAATGAATGAATGAGTAGATTGATGGATGGATGGATGGTTGTATGGGTTGATGTACAGATAAATAAATCAATCAATCGATACTTCAACCCCAAAACAAACAAATAAACGATCGGTCAATCAGTAACTGATAACTGGAAGGTTGTTCACCCAAAATTTGAGAAAAAAAAATGTCCTATATATAATTATCAGTTCATTTATTTATTTATTCATCCATCTGTATTTTTATTATTCCATCTATCAAATCATGCATTCATGCACTTATTGATTGATTGATTGATTGGTTGATTGGTTGATTGGTTGATTGATTGATTGATTGATTGATTGATTGATTGATTGATTGATTGGTTGGTTGGTTGGTTGGCTGATTGATTGATTGATTGATTGATTGATTGATTGATTGATTGATTGATTGATTGATTGATTGATTGATTGATTGATTGATTGATTGATTGATTGATTGATTGATTGATTGATTGATTGATTGATTGATTGATTGATTGATTGATTCATTCATTCATTCAATCATTTCCTCAACCAAGCAACCAACCAACAAGCCAGCTATCTAAAGAATTTAAATCCATGGCGTATGAAACGTAAACGCTATCAAAATAAACAATATTTATATAAAAATATAAACAATGCAAACGATAATAACATAAATAACAAAATTAATAATAATAATAACAAATAATAACAATAACAAGAAAATAATAATAAGAAGAATACCATCTGTTTGGCTGTGTTATCAACGTCATCAATCTTATCATCTGTAAGAGCATTTTGGCATGTTGTTGTTGTTGCCGATGTTGTTGTTGTTGTTGTTGACGTTGCTGTTGCTGTTGTTGCTGTTGTTGTTGCGGCTGATGTTGCTGTTGCTGTTGTTGTTTTGGCGTATTGTTTCAGATGGTTCATGTTTATTTTTAACAGTTCATCGGGCATCGACTCGGTCTTTTTGTGTCGTGATGTCGTTGGCGTCGTCGCTGGCGCCGTCGTTTGAAGCTGTTGAAGTATTGTTGTTGGTGTAGTTGGCTGTTGTGATGTGTGTGCGTGTGTGTGTGTGAATGTTTGTGTGTATGTACGTGTGCGTGTGGATAGTTTTTTGAATAGGAAATTGAAGCGCTATGATAGATAGGTATAGAAGGTTAATGACCTCAGAGATTCCAATACAAAAATACATAGAACGAATTTTTCATACACACACACGCACACACACACACACACGCACACGCACACACACACACACACGCACGCACACACACACTCACATACAAACGGTGGCTTTAAAAAACTTACTGAGATAAAAAAATAGCGACGATAGCGAATTAACTGGCGTATAATTAATAATTAAGTAATCATCATCATCAATTAATTATTAAGTAATCATCATCATCAATTAATTATTAAGTAATCATCATCATCAATTAATTATTAAGTAATATAGCAGTTACACAAGTGGAACAACAACAAAAAGGTGCATGCAACAATATACCTCAACGCGAGTTAGGCTGTTGTTGTTAATGTTACTGTTGTCGTCGTCGTTACTGTCAGCTGCAACGACATTGTTGTTGCTGTTAATGCTGCTAAAATTGTTGTTGTCTGCACTGTTTGGCCTTTGGTTTGTTGTCGACATCTGGGGTGCCTTTAACGTTGAGAAATTTAATTAGAAGTAACTGTTGTTATTGTAGTATTGCTTTCGCTTGCTTTTTCATCTCTCTCTCTCTCTCTCTCTCTCTCTCTCTCTCTCTCTCTCTTTATACGTACATGTTTGCATGCGTGTGTGTGAGTGCGTGCGTGTGTGTATGCGTGTATGTGTAAAAGATGATGAACATTCAAAAAGCGGAAGGCGACAATTGTTGACAATGTAAATAAAAGGTAGGCCAGCATATAATATACAAAATTTACAAAATACACATTTTTTTTTCTAGTAGAAAAAATTGCGAAGAAAAAAAAAACAAACAATAAAAACAAATCTCTGAAGCCTAAAAAAAATCCCATAAACACGAAATAATATTAGGTATGTAATGCACCTATGTAAGATAATGAATAAGAATGAAAGATAAATAAAAATATGGATTTTTTCACTCTTCTCTCTCTCTCTTATTTGCTTTCTTTCTTTCTCTCTCTCTCTCTCTCTCTCTCCTCCAATAAGAGCAAGCTCTAAAGAAATAGATACAAACATTAGTATTTCTAACTCAATCAATTTCCTCTTCACAATGAAAAATAGTAGACAATTCTAGAGTAGTAGCAACAGTAATAATTTCATCACCATCGTTATCATCATCGTCGTCGTCATCATCATTATCATTACACGCATCATCATCATCGTCGTCGTCATCATCTTCATCATCGCCATCTTCATCATCGTCGTCACCATCATACTGAGTGATAGCAGTGCATTCCTATCCAGTTACTAACTCGCCCATTCATGTTTATTTCGTACCATTCATGTGTTTGTCATCATTTTTATCATCAACATCATCATTATCAATATGATTCATCTGTTCATCCAAACGCTCAATCAATCCTACAATATTTTTTATTCATTTGTTTGCCTGTTGGTTC